AGAAGAATCCAGCTCAAATCAGATTCTGGGCCACCCTCTAACTGAGAGAACAAGACGCTCAGTGTTACTGCTTCAGTATCCTTGTCTCCTAGTGGGAAGTAGATAACATCTACCTTAGAGAATTGCTGCGTGGATTTAGCACACCCAGTGCTTGGAACATAAGAACCCAATAATTGAAGAATTATTATTATCATGAAAAGGTCAATGTTAACAAGCCTAAATGGATTTAACAAGACTGGGGAAGGGTAAATGAAGAACCAAGAAAGATCAGAAAGATGTTAAAATCGTTAACTTCCCATTGATGCACCAATTTCCTCTAGATCTGGGGTCTATCTCATCAAGTCACACAGCTGCTCTTGCTCTGTCCTTGCTCCTCTGTTTCCTTGTCATCTGTTCAAATCACAGGTACTGGGTGGGTACTGTGCACCAGGCCTAGTCTCAGCCCTCAGTGAGGACCACCGCCCTGAATCCTTCCAATATCTCTGTACAATAGTCACAGCTTCTGGTTAATGGTTAGGAGGCACAGAGAGGTTCAGTTACCTTTCCCAAGGCCACAGAGCTAAGAACTTAGCAAGAGAGCCCAGGACAGAATCCTGGCATCCACAACTCCTTCCTGTGAAGCCTCTCTGCCTCTCGTTATGCATTCCTAGACAGCTGAGCCTGTCAGGGCCATCAAGGTGGGCTCTCCTGATCCAAACTCCCATAGTGATGTGCTCTGCTCATTCCCTGGTAGGCTTGCAGCTTCTTAAATAGACACAGGCAAGACTGTAGATTTAAGCCTTGCCAAGATATGGCTTGAGTTGACTCTCATGAGTATCATGCTTATAGAATGGTGCTGGTTCTAGCAGAAAGTAAAGAACACAGTTTAAAAAGTGTAAGTTCTGGAGCCAACACTGTGGTATGGTATGTTAAGCCCCTGCTTGCAGCAGCTTCATCCCCTATGGGCTCTGGTTCATGTCCCGGCTGTTCCACTTCCTATCTAGCTCCCTGCTGGTGGCCTGGGAGGGCAGTGGAAGATGGCCCAGGTGCTCAGACCCCTACACAAACATGGGGGACCTGGTAGAAGTTCCTGGCTCCTGGCTTTGGATGGGCTCAGCTCCGGCCATTGTGGCCACTTGGGTAGTGAACCAGCAGACGGAAGACCCGCCCCCTCTCTTTTCCTCTCTCTGTCGCTCTGCTTCTAAAATAAATACTTTTAGAAAAATATATAAAAAGTGCAAGTTCCAATATCAGACAATCCCATCTCTGTGACACGTGAGGGTGGTGTACCCACACTGCTCCTGTTTCTCAGCTCTGACATGTGGGTGGTAGTGGTAACAATACTCACTGTGGGAAGCTTCTATAATCACTGAACAATCCAATAGGAGCACAGTGCTTAAAGCCAGCAATGTCAGCGTTTGTCAGATATACATTGCCATAGAGTGTGACAAGCCAAAGGTAACTTACCGTAATGCTAGATTATGTGCATGGCAGGAACTGCAGAATTTGGCCTGGGTTAGGGTGTTAACATGTTTTTTTCCTTGAGCAGAAGACACTAGTTGTCTCACTTGGGTTCTTCCTTGGTGGCTGGGGGTAAGATGGTGCGGAGTCACGACACAGACACCGGGAGTTGGGAAGAAGCAAGTTAGTGGCGAGCGGCTTGCAAATTGGTTTATTTCAGTTAGTGCAGCAGCTTATATAGGGGTTCTAGACAATCAGCTCAGAGGGCGTTTCTTTAGTCGGCCTACAGGTGCTGGTTGCTGGGCAGAGTACTTCTGTGGCCGCTCCCTGCTGCCATTTCCTGGTCGGTTGGTTACACATCACTTGTGGCCACCAGCACCATCTTCTGTGATGGCTTATTTTCCTACATTTCCCCCCCTTTTTATTTTTCCAAATCAGTGGGAGGCATGATTCTTAGCCATGCCATTGTTGACCACACTCTTGGGGCCTTAGGTTGTCCCCCGAGGGATCTTACCTGTCACTGACTAACCAGCCTTCCACAGGAGATGACCCAAGGTTTGCGTTGCCTCTTCTGGGGGTGGAGGGGTGTGTATTACACTCGTGCAGCCCAAACCGAAGCTGGGCATACTACAGGTGGTAGTGAGCCTCGCGACTGAGTAGTATCTGGTTGATTTGGATGTCGGACACGCATTCCTTATCGACCGGATGGAGCAGCGGACACAGGCTGGAATAAAAGCTAGAAAGAGGATCAGCAGGAGTAGGAAACCCCCAAAGAAATAAATATTCTCCAGGGAGAAAATATATGTAAAATCTCCTTCTATGCATCATTGTCCTGTACTGAGTATTTGCTGTATATTTTCCGGCCCATCCTGGCTGAGGAGTAGTACCTTGACTATTGTCTTTATTTCTCCCAACTGTACAGATCCCCCGTGGGGTTCTACATGGATCTTATCTTTTTCTTTTGAGGATTTGATCACTACTCCAAATAGTGACTTGTTGGTATCCATAAATGCACATGGTGCCATGGGTATAGGTTGATTAACAGGGAAAACATGTTTTAGATAGTCTATTTCTAAGGTTTGTAACGTCTGGAGTAGCCTGTCCACCAGCAGGTGATTGTTAACCTGTCCTGGGAAATTTATCATTAAAGTTTGAAAGAGCATGCTATTCTGCATCAGTGTGGACAGTTCTAATTGCGATAGGGGTAGGACCACTATGGCTGGCTCTGTGTTAAATCTCTTATTGGCATAATATCTTAATTTAAGCCCCATCATAAGGAAGGCATCTACTTTGTCAACTATTTTACGACACTCACTCCAGGCTATGTGTGCCCCCAAAAAGTGGTCCATGTTGTTGCCAAATAGCTCCTAAGGGGTCCTTGAGGGTAGATATGGTTATGGCAAATAGAGGCACCGGAGGATCATATCTAAAGGTCTTTAAATTTGACAACTGCTGTTGATCTTTTCTATAGTGGATTCGGCTGCTGATGTCAAAGTGATTTTTGAGGAAGGGCTGTTCCCCTTAGTCAGTAAATGGAATAGCGGTGTAAGCCCTGTTGGGGTTAGGGGAAGAAAGAGTTTCAGCCAATTGATTTGGCCGCATAGTTGTTGAAGTTCATTAAGTGAGTATTTATGTTTGACTTTTAGGTTTGGGCCCATTGGAGATATCTGGGAGGAGATCTGATAACCCAGGAATTGAAAGGGAGGAAAATGTTGCGTCTTTACTGTGGCAATAGCTAAGCCCAGGAATTGTAAATTTCTTACTATCTCATTTAGACAGGCCTTCAGGGTTGCCACATTCTTGTGAGCAAGTAAGCTATCATCCATGTAATGCATGACCAAGCACTGGTGGCCATTTTCTGTGATGGCTTGTTTTCCACACGGTCCCTACAATTTTTTTTTTGATGCCCTACAATTTTTTTTTTTAATGAATTTTACAAACATCACTGGAGTTAGCTGTAATGGTGCAGCTGGAGGGTAGAGCACCTTCTCCAGGCCATGTCATGAGAACCACCAATAGTGAGGTAGAATATGTGGCCACTCCCAAGGCCATGACTCTGGCGGCCTTGCAGATGTCACCGCATGCATTTCCCTGTGCTTGGGGACTGTTCTGGCGATCTACTGATTCTTAGATTTGTTCCGATGGCTTTATGAAATGGGTCAATGAGCACCAAGCCGCTAATAATTGAGGCTGCTCAGAGCCCCACAGTGGCGCTCAGCTCATTCCCCGGTAGCAGACTGAAGGCTTTGCACAGACTTGACCTGGTTAACACCATGTTGCACATACCATAGGTTGCATCCTTAAGAACTGGCACCTGTGGCCACCTCAGCGCCCATACATCCTATAGATGACATAACTTTGCTTGGCCCTCTATCCCAGTCTGTGTGCCTTGTCCCATCAGGTGGGGCGGGGCACCCTGTGGTGGTGCTGTCAGCAGCGGAGCCCCAGGAGAAAGAGCATGACATCTGACTGCTTCTTTCTCTGTAGCTCCTGGATGTACTTGCACGCACCCATCCTAGCTACCTGATGGCTCTCGGCAGAGTCCCTAAAATTTGCTTTCTTGTCTCCAAACCTCTCTTCCAGTTCAGCAAGAGGATTCTTTTTTTTTGTTATTTCTTACATAAGATTTATTTGAAAGAGTTACTGAAAGAGGTAGAGACAGAGAGAAAGATCTTCCATCTGCTGGTTTGCTCCCCAAATGGCTGCAACGGTCAGAGCTGGGCAGATCCAAAGTCAGGAGCCAGGAGCTTCCTGGTCTCCCACTCAGGTGCAGGGACCCAAGCACCTCGGTCATCTTCCACTGCTTTCCCAGGCACATTAGCAAAGAGCTGGGTTGGCACTGGCACCCATTTGGGATGCCTGTGCTGTGGGATAGGGCTTTAACCTACTGGCCACAGCACCGGCACCCCAGCAAGAGGATTCTTGCTGGGCATTTCTAGAAACATTGAAAATAAAGAGGCCATCTGCCATGGATTCGATGTTGCTTCCTGCAGGGTTCAAGCATCCCTGAGAGTCGTGTGCAATGTGAGGAGTGGGGAAAGGGAAATGGTAGAATGATGAAATGTCATTTATTTCCAAGAAACTTAAGATGAATAGGCCACCTGTGGAACACAGAATTGGCTGTTGTTTCATTCCAGGGAGGATGAAGGCATTTTAAGATTATTCCATTATTCTTCTGTGCCTGTAGTTTAGATAAGGTATGATATTATAGACACCTGTTTTTACTTGAATTTTTATTGAAATAGAGCCATTAGCTCTCCAGGGGAACCATGAAGTTGGCTAGAAAGTATGATTTGGAATAATTTCTATTATTTTTAATCAAGAATGTATTCTTAGTAAAAGTTGCAAAATTTCTAGCCACGGTTGGCTTACTTTAGAATCAGAATGAAATGAATTTTATGACTTTACAACAAAGCCAAGTTTCTGTTCTGGTAATTTCAGTCTAAAGCAGATAAAGCAATCTGAATAATATCAAATGCAGATATGGGCCTAGAATTAACTAAAACCAAACCTTCCCTGATAACTAGATAACTTTTGTCTTCTCCGTGTCTCTGGCTTAGGTACTCACAACGCCTTTGGAAAAGAACAAGAACCAGCAGTATGGAATTCAAAATTCATAAAACTTCACTATGAGGCATTGTAAAAACTGTAGAAGATGTTTTAAAAGTTACCTTCATATCAATAACACTTATGTTAGTGAGATATTGATACAAATCCATCTCTACCTCTGGGTTTGTTCACTTCCCTCTGAAGCCAACTGCCTTCCCCATTAACATTGTCCCGACTGTAAGCCTTTCTTCCATCAGTGGCTCTCAGTGGAATTGCTCCACGTATAGGATATTTGAAACAGTTCAGGGGACATCATGATGTTTTGTTACCTGGATGTGGGGAAGGGAGTGTGCTTCAGGAACCTGGTGGTTTTTCCTTGTTTTTTTTTTTTGTTTGTTTGTTTGTTTGTTTTTGTTTTGTTTGTTTGTTTGTTTGTTTTTTATTTCCTTTGGAGAACGTCTTGTATCTTCTCTCTCAGTTCTCATCGTTCGAGTGGACCTATCTCCTAGATTCATATACGAGCATGTGATCTAAACCTAAGCTAAGCAGCATTCATTTCCTTTTGGCTCAGGGAAAGGGCAGGTGACCCAATTTGGGTCAACAAAAGGTAGGCCCTTTTACAAACTGTTGGGAATAGAAGAGATATCTTTCCTCTTTATTCCACATTTGCATGTGGATGTGGGAGGATTTAGATGGACTGATAGGTGATGATGTAGGGGTTGGAATTAAATCTTGCACAGGGTAAAGGGAAGGAGGAGGGAGGGAACAGAAGCAGGAATAGCAAAAACTGAAGTATGACAATCTTCAAGCATTTGGGTCTGGTCTTCCTGGAACTACCTGACTTCCCTGGTACATGCTACTGACTTGTATAATATAATATTGCTTTTATAGTGAGTAAATTTTGGTATTGGGTTTCCTATTATGAGGAATTTTTTTTTTCCATTTTAGCGTTATGAGTATTGTATCTCAAGAAGCACCTAATTCTGGGGGAAGCTGGGACAGCTGCTCACTCCGTCTGCCAACAACAGAGCCCTTCCTGATGCAGATGTGTGCAATTCAGGATTACGTAAAATGCTGAACTACGTGTTTCCTGATACAATTTGATGTAAGAAATAAGAGAGTAGAACAGAAACAAAAAGAGTAGAACAAAGTCAAGGCTTGAAAGAAAATTAGACTTTTCATGGGAACCGCTGAGGACTTCGCCACTGAGGATCTACAATGATGGGGCCAAGGCAGTACTGAGCAGGAGCTGAAGTGTTAACCAAGGAATAGTGCCAGTCCTATGAATGTGTCTGCATATAACGGTAGACATTTTTACCTGTATTATGTCATTGTAATTATGGATGACTTGCTGTAGAGTTAGTTTGCATATTTTCAATAAGCCATTAAAAATGTGGTTTAATGACAAAGGGTAAGGATGATTGGTTTGACACTTAACACATTCCCCCTTGAATTATAATTTATATGCAGACTTACTTTCCCTAAAATCCTCAAGGACAGGATTAAAGTTTGCTTGTCTGTGTTTTCCCCCCACACAGTGCAATTTGAACATGGTTTGCAGTCAAATATTTTTGAAACAAATAAATCTGAACCCTCTTAGGGCACAAGAGTTTTACTTATAGAATTGAAAATTTTTAAATTAAAATATTTCACTGACTATGGATTTTTTCCAATCAGTAAGTCCTAGTGATGGTGTGACGTGGCTGGATTGCATTTCAAGGGTTGGAATTATCTACTGAGAACGAGAAGCTGCAGATCATTTTTCAGCATTTGGTTCTTACTGTGCTGAGATTTGTGTCTGCAACAAAGAAGCATTTGAGAAGTGGTAGATTTTTTTTATGTTAGTGGGGGTGAGAAGTGTTAGGAAAGGAATTATAATGAGATTTCTTTTTTTGGAAAGAGGAAAATAAATATGGTTGGAGATCCAGAGAGGAAGAGAGAAATATGTCACTCTATAAAAAGTCAAAGATCTTTCTTTCTATACTTATCAGGGCCAATGGATGAGTCTAAATCTGAAAATCAGAGTGGAAGGCTATTTTACTCTTTTCTTTACTGGAATTTGAATCAGTAATATGGAACTCTTGTGTCTGACCTTATGTGACATTTGGATTGAAGAGTTCCAGGCTACTATATACATACACCCAGCATAAGGTATTTATATTGATGGTTTATATATGCATGAGATTTTATATATATGTATAGATCCATTCCTATAAATATATTCATATAAATGCATGCATATGTATTTAGAGAATTTTAAACAAATGCTGGTAGATAATTGTATTTAAGAGCTTAACTAAATGCAAATTCCATGAATGTGACACAGTAGTACTGAGTCACTTTATATTTCAGCAACTCACTCAAGGCCATGTAGATGTAGGTTCAAAGAATTCTGTTTCTTGGGGTTTCATTAGGATGTACTACCAGTTGACACAGACAGAAGATTCTGTCATTTTCAAAAATGGGTGACTCTAAGATTTTCATGTACTAACAAACATTCTTCTCTGTACACAGTGCCTTCTTGTTACACCTGTCTTTGCCTTATTTCTGACTCTGTTTCGTAACTGGGAGTGAGAATGTGATGGACCATGGCTACAGGGCCCAAATTCTGGTTCTGCTATCAATAACTCCAAAAATTTAACTTCTTTATCTTGTGGGACATCATTTTACAAATGTGATTCATAAGAATAATTCCTGAATTGTAGTTGTTACAAATTAATTGGTGTTATTGCATAAAACTGTACCTGTCAAGCAATGAATATTAGGTCCTCCTAATGTAGCCCCAACATCATCCCCTTGAACCACAATGAGACCAGGAGAGGTGACTTACCCCAAGAGTGTGGAACTAGGGGAACCTGGCTCTAAACCATTCATAAATGACCTGCTTGTGGGTCAGGGTTTCTTTCATATGGAGCAGAGCAGCTCCCTCACTGTGATCTATTGAAAGTCAGCCCTTGACACACAGTTGGTAAACAAACAAACAAAAAGGATAATACGATAAAAAAAAAAAAACATTTTAAAAAAGAGTGTGAAATTGACACATAGTATATCAATGTCAATTGAAAGAGAGCTGGAGAGCAGAGGTTGCCATGTTTGAGTTGTGGACACTGATAAGCAATTAGACAAAGCTTGGTTTTGGGGGGGATTCATGGATGCAAGATATTATGCAGATCATGCACATGTATTAGCTTGTTTAGTCCTCAAAGCAACACAGGCAACAGATATTACTGTTTCACCACATTATTTTGGTAGCATTTCACAGAAAATTGAAAAAAGTGTGGTATACAATGGTTAGAAATTACCTGAGAAGTTCTAGCTCCAGAATCTGCAGTGTTTCCTACTATGATTTTTTAAGATTTATTTATTTATTTGAAAGTCAGAGTTACACAAAGAGAGGGAGAGAGGCAAAGAGGGAGAGAGGTCTTCCATCCAGTGGTTCACTGCCCAGTTGGCTGGAGCTGTGCCAATCTAAAACCAGGAGCCAGGCACTTCTTTCAGGTCTCCCATGAGGGTGCAAGGTCCAACCACTTGGACCATCTTGTACTGCTTTCCCAGGCCATATCAGAGAGCTGGATTGGAAGTGAAGTAGCTGGGACTTGAACTGGCGCCCATGTGGGATGTTGGCACTGTGGGCGGCAGCTTTATCTGCTATACAACAGTGCCAGCCCCCCTACTATATTCTTACATACTGTTATGGAGTAAGTGAAAACATGTATGAAAGATAGAAATGGAGGAAGGCTGGCGCCGCGGCTCACTAGGCTAATCCTCCGCCTTGCAGCACCAGCACACCGGGTTCTAGTCCTGGTCGGGGCACCGGATTCTGTCCCGGTTGCCCCTCTTCCAGGCCAGCTCTCTGCTGTGGCCAGGGAAGTGCAGTGGAGGATGGCCCAAGTACTTGGGCCCTGCACCCCATGGGAGACCAGGATAAGTACATGGCTCCTGCCATCGGATCAGTGCGGTGCGCCGGCCACAACGCGCCGGCCATGGTGGCCATTGGAGGGTGAATCAACGGCAAAAGGAAGACCTTTCTCTCTGTCTCTCTCTCTCTCTGTCCACTCTGCCTGTCAAAAAAAAAAAAAAGAAAGAAAGAAATGGAGGAACGTGAGAAAGGGAAACAGAGAGCTTGTGCCTGGCTGCATATCTTACAAGGTCTACTTCCTACTCATGAGTTCAGCAAATGCTCAACATTTCAAGAAATTTTCTCCCTTAAAAGTTTTATTTATTTATTTATTTTATTTATTTATTTATTTATTAAAAGTTTATTTATTTATTTATTTTATTTATTTATTGTTTATTTGAAAAGCAGGAAAACAAAGGCAGAGAGACAACCAAAGACATCTTCTATCCACTGGTTCACCCCCAAAATGTCCATGAGAACTGAGGCTGGGCCAGGATGAAGCCAGGAACCCAGAACTCAATCTGGGTCTCCCACCTGGATGGCAGGGACCCAAACACTTGAGCCATCACCTGCTGCCTTCCAGGGTGTGCACTAACAGGAAGTTGGGTTAGAAATGAAGGCAGGAGTCAACCCAAGCATTTTGACCACTGTGCCAAATTGCTGCTCTAGGATATTTTCTTCTACTTTATCTAGCTTGAATGGCTTACTACTATTTGTTTTCTGTTCACTGACAAATGGGGTCTAAATGGATCAAAGGTACATGATGCTTATTTTCACAACAGACTTCAACTCCAGGTTCTTGAGGTCCCCTATAGACCTGTCCACCAGCCAGTGCTCCAACACAAGATACTGGAGAAAGAACTCATGCAACCAAGATCAGTTTGACGTTGGGTTCAGAATGCAGCCAGCCAGAGGAGGAACGAGACGCACAGGTTGTGGTAATTGAGAGGAAATGGTTCCCTGCACTTTAGAACTAAGGTTGATTGAAGAACAGATGGCACCAAGATGTAGTTGCTGTATCTCAGCATCACCTCAGATGATTTTCATTCTAGCTTTTAGGCTTCTCAAAAAAAAATCTCAGTGTCAGCTTTCACATTTAAAATAAATGGGTAGTTTGAGTTGGGCAGGAGATACTTTAAATTGGGAATTCTTGCATCTCCATGGTAATCCAAGTCACCAAAATAGGTCAGAGCCAGACCATGTTTTTTTTGAGAAGAAATCATTGGGAAGTTAGGGAAGCAAGGGAGAGGCAGCTTTGATGTTCTGGAAAAAAGAAAGAAGGATCCTATTTTGTATTTCATAGGAAATGTGGTCCACTGAAAGCATCAAAGAGTTAAAAGCATTCCATCCAGTAACCTCACTGCTTTTCCGTGGTGACACAAGTCATTTAATGCAATGCCAAGGAGAAAGGGGAGAAAATTATACTTAATCAGTCAGATGTGGTAGCCATTAAAAGGAAAACATGGGCACAAAAGGTCTCTGAGTTCATATGGTTTCCTCTTGTCCCAATATTTTGCCTCATTTCTTTAGTTTTAGCTAAGTTTTGCTCAAGTACTGGAGCCATGAGAAAGAGCCAAATTCCAGGCTTTCTGGCAATGATCTGTGCTTCATTCCTCACACATGAACTCAGTTTCAGACTGAATCTCTCCCAGTGGAAAGAAACAGGCAAGGATACAGTGGAGATCTGTACAGCTCAAATGTTACGCAGATTCATGAAGGTCAATGCAGTGAATGTGGCATAAAGATGGATTCCCCTGCACAAGGCAGTGTTAAAAAAAAAAAAAAAAGAATTGATGACCATAATGTGAAGCTAATTAACTACTACAAAGCATGCCTTTCCCCTATGGGTCTAATTCCTTTTATTAGCAAAGCTGATCGGAAGAATGGCAAACAGTCCATGAAAGTCCAGAGGCTTAGCTCAGCCTGGCTGTTACCTGGCACACCGTGAGCAGGAATCTTCGGTCTCCTGGCCGCCAGATTTCTTTGCATTCCACCCTTACTCCCTGATTTTTCAAGCCTCAGGCTTACTCTGCCCATTATTCTCTTCCCTCCAAGCTTTTGCCTTTGACACATTGGATCGGTGTGGCCCTGGGGATTAGGAGAAAGAAGTAAGGAACTGGAGTGTATTGGAGGATGCATGAGTGAGAAAATAGGTCTATAGCTTGGGCAGGAAGAGGGTCTGAAGGACTGATTCTTGGAGTGTGACAGAAGCGTTCACCTTGAGCCTGTTCTTAGAGGCCTTACCCTTTCATGTTCTGCTACCACCGTGAGTTTCTTAGTGATTTTGAACAAGGAGCCTCACTTTTTAATTTGCCTTAGGTTCCATAAATGACATAGCAGCTCACGAGGCCTGTGGGCAAGGAAGTCCAGGAGTTGAGCGAGGTTGTGAAGAGCATGTGAACTCCAGATTATCTCTTCACCAGGACTGAACTCCCAGGAGCAGAGGAACAATAGCAAGAAGCAAGCAAACGAGCAAAGTCTGGTGGCACTGGCCGGGGAAGCTTCTCGCCTGCCCTTCTGCCTCCATTCGAACACGAGAACCTTCCATTCCACATTCCACATGAAATTCCTTTGAGGCCTGCATGGCGGTACAGTGGGTTAAGCCAGCGCTCACCATGACAGTAGCCCATATCAGAGTGCTAGTTAAGAGTCCTTGCTACTTCATTTCTGATCCTGCTAATTCCCCCTGGGACAGAAGTAGAATATGCCCAACTTCTTGGGTGCCTGCTATCCACATGGAGGACGTGGATGGAATTCCAGGCTCCTGGCTTTGTCCTGGCCCAGCCCTGGCCATTGCAGTCATTTGGGGAAATGAACTAGTGGACAGATAAAAGATCTCTCACTCTAGCTCTCTCTCTTTCCCTTTCTCTCTCTCTTCCATACTCCCTCCCTCTCTCTCCCTCTGCCTTTCATATAAATAAAATTTATTTAAAAATTGAATTCCTTTGACAACATTTTGCCTTCTCTTAGGAAATATATGCACAGCATAATTAGTCATGGTCATTCTTTTCATTTAATCAGGAATGATACAGTTGTTGTATATATCCTATAGTTAAGTCATTCTTCTAGGTAATAAGGCCATGGTGGGGACTGAGGCATACAGAAGCCAGGCACTTAAGGAGATTACATTCCAGTGGGGGAAACAGGAAATAAAATTAAATGAAAATCAAATAAACATGATAATATATGACACTGATATTTGCTGTATAAAAGATAAAGTAGTAGATAGAGACAGAGCAGGCTGCTT